CCATTGATGTGCTATATCTGACAGGCATAGGCAGAGGTCGTTTCGTAGAAAAAGAGCTAGGGGAACTCATTAGCATAACTCATTAGCATATGCCACACCCCCTGACATCACCGAAAGTGTGTCATAAGGCCACACCCCCTGACATCACTGGAAGTGATATCACACCCTGCCCCCAACGGTCCCAGCCGCCGGCCCCATGAGGGGCCCGGTGGTGGACCTGCAAGGCCGGCGGGAGTGCAAGGAAGCCCCGCGAAGGCCCTCCCTGGCCTCAGGCAGGCAGGGGTGGGGAGAGGCAGGGAGGAAGCAACTTACCCTCCCTGTTCTCCTGCCTCCTCCTGGCTGAATGAGGGCCGGAAGTGGGGCGGCCGGAAGCAGGGGGCGGGGCTTCGTCATGTGCCCCGCCCCCGTACCTCACCCGGGGGAACTGCGATCCCCCGCGATCCCCCCCGAAATGACCTCTGGGCATAGGCATGCCCACTTTTTTATATAGGATGCTGCATCTATGAACTTACTTCGAAGGCTGATTTTTAAATTGATTCTGTTGCAGATGCTTCAAAATTCCTTTTTAATTCTTTTCACAGTGGCTATAAAGGATACAGGAGATGCAAGCTTTTATGTATCTAAATGCCATGCCTTGATGCTCACTTGCAGTTTGGTGATGATTGGAAGCCAAGGAGGACAGTATCATTCTGGACACGCTTAAAAGCAGCCTACAAAAAGGCGACAAAAAATGTTTTGCTTGAGACGTTTTCTGTTTTCACCGAGGAGTTGCCAGTTTCGAAAGAGGAGCAGTGACTCATTTTTCAGCCAGCTAAATAAATGCACAAATGAAGATCAAGTGTTTGATCTTGTTGGAAAGAACAAAACCAAACTCTCCGAAAAACACGTGGAGACCGCTGTTGATACACTTTGGCAGTTTCAAAAGAAGAAGCCTGAACTCCTGAGGAATGTCAGTTATGTAAGAGATCACCCTCACTTCCTTATCCTTCGCATTTTAGCAGAAAACAAGATTGAATCTATGAGTAATGAAGCGTTAGTGAAAATGCTCTACAATTTTCTTAGGTAAGTGGTAGCAACATGTGTAATGGCATCAAATTTATTTTAAATTGTGGGTGTTTTAAAAAAATTAAGCTTTCTTAAATACGTTTAAAAATAAATGTTTGGAACGGAGCAGGCTTGTTTCTGCATCGCGCTTGCTGGTACACTGCCTGCTAACAATGCGCTTAGGGGATAAAGTACAGTTTTGGAATGGAGTTGCCATATGCATGTAAGAGACAGGTAAACTATTTTCAGCGTTTGCTTTATAAGAGATCCTGACTGTGGGACTGGTGTTTGCAAGCTGTTGCAGTGTATTTTGCAAAAGCCAAATCCTATTCTGAATATCTATATTTTTTTGCATTGCGTGTGTGTGTGTGTCCGTCCATGCATGGAAATCATGGTGACCTCTGGTGACGGCTACTGGGGCATGGAGGATGTTCAGAGCGATGGCTTGATGGTGTGCCTCTGCCTCCTGGCCCTGGTATCCTTTGGAGGTCTCCCATCCAAGCACTTGCCAGGGTCAGCCTTGCTTAGCTTCTGAGCTCTGATGAGATCAGGCTTGCCTGGGCTATCCAGGTCAGGGCCTCCTGTTCTGAAATTTGAGTGGAGGCCACGAAGTCCAACCCAAGTGACCGTACTGGAAATGTCAGCATGCTGCCAATTGTCCTGAGAAAAGGCTGATTAAAGCGAAAACAAGGAGAAGGTCAGGTCTGAAGCAAGGCCCACTGTTGTTCCAAAATCCCCAAGATGGAACGTCAGGTATTGGTCACCAACACTGTGGACCAGGCGATCAGACTGGGAGGACACATAGTTAAAACATCTGGGGACATTGGGCCAGTTGCACATGCTCCACCTAACCTACTTCACAAGGTTGTTTTGAGGGTAAAGTACAAGAGAACAAAATGCTTGTAAGCCACTGGGGAGGAAAGTGGGGTATAAATACAGTTTAAAATGATACATTGGGTGAAAAGAGGCTGGTCAGGTTCTACCAATCAACGTGTTTTAAAAAAATTAACTCTACATTGCTTTATAAGGTTCAAGTTTTGAAGGTTTACAGTGTGATCTTAAGCAGAATTACACCTTTCTAAACCCATTGAAGTCAGTGGGTTTTAGAAAGGTATACCTCTGCTTAGGATTTTGCTGTGTAAGTTTCAAATTTCAGTTTTATAGTCTTTGGTGTAGTGGTTTGGTGTAGTGCCAGTATGGTGTAGTGGTTAAGTGTGCGGACTCTAATCTTGGAGAACCGGGTTTGATTCCCCACTCCTCCACTTGCACCTGCTGATGTGACCTTGGGTCAGTCACAAGCTCTGGCACAGCTGTCCTTGAAAAAGAGCAGTTTGTGTCAGAGTTCTCTCAGCCCCACCTACCTCACAGGGTGTCTGTTGTGGGGAGGGGAATGGAAAGGAGTTTGTAAGCCGCTCTGAGACTTCAAGTGAAGGGCGGGGTATAAATCCAATCTCTTCTTCTTCTTCTTCTTTATCATTTGAACTTGGACGTGTGTAATTACCAATGTTTGCTGTTGTTGCCCTTTTATTTTTTAGTGGTAATGTAAAAACAGAAAATCCATCCATACATACAGAAAAATAATTTTTAAAGAAAAATCTAGGCTGCAGAAGATAAGGCAAAACTTTGCATGGTCCCAAGCACACTTCTGTACCACTGCAGAAAAGCTTTCCTCAGGCTGTGAAAGTTGGGCTCTTAAAGGGACCGGGGTTGGGATGCAAAAAAGTGACATTCATAAGCTGGGCAGAACGGCACATGCAGCCAAGCAGTGCTTGATGTTGGCAGGGCAGTAGATCCCGTTGCAGGAAAGGTAAGCCGGTGCTCCACTGAAAAACGTAAACATTTATACAGTAGGAAGCAATGTTCCCTCTAAGCTGTGGAGTCTTCTGAGCAAAAATCCTACTTTGTGAGCTAGAGGCATTAAAGTTGTGAGTGAGCCATTTGGCAACTGCACAAATCAGTTTGCTTTGAGGCCATCCTTCCTGAGCGAAGGCAAAAATCTGTGAGCCGGAGGCTTAAAAACTGTGAGCTAGCTCACACCAACGCAGCTTAGAGGGAACACTGGTAGGAAGTACTGTGCCATCAGCCTCAAATGAGATTTTGGTTGTACCCCTAAACACATGGAGCTGCCTTACATTGAGTCAGGACAATGGTCCGTCAAGGTTGGTGTTGTCTACTCTGACTGGCAGTGGCTTGGTGGTGGAAAGTGCTGTCAAGTCACAGCCAACTTATGGTTGACCCCGTAGGGTGTTTTCAAGGCAAGATATCAACAAAGCTGGCTTGCCTTTGCCTGTCTCTGCACAGAGCCACCCTGGACTTCCTTGGTGGTCTCCCATCCAAGTACTACTCAAGGCTGGCCCTGCTTGGCTTCTGAGATCTGATGAGATCAGGCCAGCCTGGTCCATCCAGAGCCATCATCTACAACTTGATCCTTTTAGCTGGAGATAATGGGAATGGAACCTAGGATCTCCGTGTAAAGGAGATGCTATGCCACTGAACCACAGTCTTATCACTTGGGAATGGAACCTAGGATCTTCTCCGTGTAAAGGAGATGCTATACCACTGAACCACAGTCTTATCACCAAGTGTGTAGTTACACCCAAAGTGTGCATAACAGTGAGGAAGAAGACGGAGGAGGGAAAGTATTGGGAGGAATAAACGTAAAGGCATAATTGGTTATAATTGGGGACCAGGATTAAGAGGCTGAGTTCTCGTGGAAGAGGTGGGTTTTGATGGATGAGAAACATGGGAATGGAACCTAGGATCTCCGTGTAAAGGAGATGCTATGCCACTGAACCACAGTCTTATCACCAAGTATGTAGTTACACCCAAAGTGTGCATAACAGTGAGGAAGAAGACGGAGGAGGGAAAGTATTGGGAGGAATAAACGTAAAGGCATAATTGGTTATAATTGGGGACCAGGATTAAGAGGCTGAGTTCTCGTGGAAGAGGTGGGTTTTGATGGATGAGAAACAGGAGGCATCCTGTACTGTTGCAGGAATTGATCCATTCATATTTTGTAGATGTTTTCTCAAACTGTAAAGAAAAATGTTCCAACAGACATAAAGCGTATATACAAGCAACCTAATGTCTTTTCAGCTCCGTAATGAGAAAGCTAAAATAGCTATACAGAGCTGCTTGAATTGTCTTTTGGTCCTTCTGAAGGTTCAACGTTGATGCCCACGATTCCCTGGTAGAAGAGATTGTCGTGGAAAGCTGGAGAAGATTGGACAGGTGAGTATGTTTTCTTTTTGTTTATCTATAAGGATGGATGTTGGCAGTTTTTATTTTTAAAAGCTCTCATAAGGTTAGTTTCGGCAAGACTTTAACACTATTTTAGGTCTCCTCACATTTTCTGCCTCTTTTATATTTGTTCACACAGTTCCCCAGCCAGTGATTGTATGGTGATAAGGAGGCTGGGAAATACCTGGAGGTTTGGGGGGTGGAGCCTGAGGACAGCGAGGTTTGGGGAGGGAAGGGACTTCAATGGAGTATTTTCTCCATTGTGGCCATTTTCTCCAGGTGAACTGATCTCTGTCGCCTGGAGATCAGTTGTAATAGCAGGAGATCTCCATCCACTACCAGGAGCTTGGCAAGCCTTGTGATAGCTGTAGTTTGCAAGAGTGATAAGGATCGTTGCGGCAAGAGAGAAAGCTATGAATTTAACAATGCACCAGGGTTGGCTTAGGGGGAATTTTAAGTTACAGCTTTAACTCAGTTGGAACAGAAAGAGAGAGGATATGCATGGCTTTGAGCCAGTTTGTCACAGGAGCCATTAAATTGAGAAGCAAAGAACCTGTGCCTTTCTTTGTGGGAGCTAAAGCACAGTAGGTCCACACGTTCAAGAATTTATACTGGTTCCCAGAGAGAAAACACAGGAGTCCTCAGTACAGCTCGATGCTCTTGTAACTCATGATGTTACTCTGGGAAGGAACATGGATTTCTGGCTGGGCTTTGGCATCCTTGTTCTGTTCTCATGTTCTGCCAAACCTTTGAATACGGTTGTGGACAGAGGATGATATTTTAGAGACCAGTGGCGAGGGCCTGAGCAGCATCTGCTGTACTCCTTTCTGCCTGTGTACATAACGCTGGTGTAAAGTGGATGGTAGGGGAGAACAAACTCCAGAGGATGATGGAGGACAGGAGGGCCTGGCATGATGTGGTCCATGGGGTCGCGAAGAGTCAGACTCGACTGTGCTACTGAACAACAACAACAAAAGGGGAGAACGCAACAAGTACATAAGTGCATGCCCTATTAAAAATAAAACAAATGCTTGCAATTGTTTGGCTGATGGGTTGGATCCAACATTCTTTCCCCCGTTAACAAAGAGGACAGAATGCCTCTGCCTCTACCTTGTTGTAGCCCCCTGAGCCCTCCATTTTCCACGCACACAACCCCGAGAGCATCTGGGGAGCTGCAGCAAGAAGGAAAGTTCTAGATGGAAGTGCTTTCCGTTAATGGAAGTTTTGAGCCCGGATCCAGTCCTTAGATCTTTGCACTTCCGTCAGTGGAAAGCGGAAAGGGGAGTGAGGGCAGGGCAGATCCCACTTAGCCTCCCAAGCCGTTCTCAAGGGCCTTAATGACCTCTAGGGCCCGGCGGGAGCATGCAACACAGGGAGAGGGTGGTGTTCACTTCTCTGAGCACGGCTCCACTCATGCCAGGCATATTTTATTTGGTACGTTTTTATCCTGCCCTTTCTCCAAAAACCGCAGGGTAGTGTACATTCTTCTCCCATTCTCTGTTTTATCCTTATAGTGACCCTGTGAGGGTGGGCTGGGCTGTGAAAGAGTGACTGGCCCAAGATCACCCATGGCAGAGTGGGGATTCAAGCGTGAGCCCTCCCAGAGTCTAGTCTGGCACTCTAACCACCACACCACATTCGCTAGGAAGATCTAAGGCAATGTAAAATCTAAGGCAGTGTGTGGTATGAAATCCTACCTGCAGTATAAACCCATTAAATCTTCAGGTGCAGTCTTATGCATACCGTATTATGCTGCCTTTCCACAAGCAATGCAGTTCACAAAAGAAGCAACCAGGTTATGCTTCTCTGGGCTGATTCTTAAGCCCCACTGCTGCACCTCCCCCAAAGAGAAGAGGAAGAGTTAGTTTTTATAACCCGTGCGCCTTGGTGTTTAGTCATGCCGGCCACATGACCACGGAAACGTCTTCGGACAGCGCTGGCTCTTCGGCTTTGAACCGGAGATGAGCACCGCAACCCTAGAGTCGGATTCGACTGGCTTTCGAGCAAGGGAACCTTTACCTTTTTTTACTACTCAAAGAAGTCTCAGGGTGACTTACAATCGCCTTCCCTTCCTCTCCCCACAACAGGCACCCTGTGAGGTAGGCGGGGCTGAGAGAAATCTGAGAGAACCATGAGTGACCCAAGGTCACCCAGCTGGCTTCATGTGGAGGAGTGGGGAATCAAGCCCAGTTCTCCCAGGTTAAGAGTCTGCCACTCTCTAACCACTACATCAAACTGGCTCCTAAACTAGAGAGAAACTCCTAAAGCCACTACTTGGAATACCCATTGATTTTCAGTGGAAGTTACTTTTGAGTTAATGTTCATAGGAGGGAAGTTGAATTGACTTGTTTTATTTAAGTATCAGTGAAAGGTAAGTTTAGGGTTCCTGGAAATACCAAGATCGCTGGGATGGTGCTCATAATAAAAGGCCCTCTTGACTGACAACTGCTGTAGTTTTAAATCCTGAGAGTATCGACTGATAAGTTACAACTTTAATAAGATAGATTCAGGTGGGTAGCCATGTTGGTCTGAAGTAGCAGAACAAAATTCAAGCCCAAGTCTTAAAGGTGCTGCTGGACTCGAATTTTAGTCTTAATAAGAATATTGTAAATGAGCAATCAACTTGTCCTCAGGAATCTCTGTTGTATATGTTGCACATGGAGAAATATTTCAAGTTGCCATATCTTGCACATGCACATTTTGGTATAGTAGTACTTTTTTTTTGTGTGTATCCTTACAGTTTGAACATGCCAGAGCTATCTAGATTTTCGTTGTGTCTGTATGAGCAACAGATGTTCTATAGTCCTCTCATGGGCCAGATAGCTGAGATTGTGAATAAGAATTTGGCTTCCATACAGGACGCAAGGTAATTTTAACTTAACAAAAGTTTTCATCTCACAGACAGCCTGCAGGTAGCTTTACTTAACGTCAGGGGTCATTTGGGGGGGGGGACGCGGGGGGACGCCATCCCCCCGGGTGAGGTGCGGGAGGGCGGGGCCTGGAGCTCCCTGCTGGTGCCCGCTGGAGGTCGCCGCCGGCTGTGGGGAGGACACACTTCCAGTGATGTCAGGGGGTGTGGCATATGCTAATGAGTTATGCTAATGAGTCCCCCTAGCTCTTTTTCTACGAAATGACCCCTGCTTAACGTACTCTTGGCATTAACAGGAATACCGACTCATGCTTGTTCAGGCCTCTCGTGTTTATTTAGCTGAAATAACGTTCTAAATCTGCGAAGATGCAACTGATCAGGATGTTCATATCTGACGCAATAACATCAACGTATTGGCTACCATTTTGAAAGACACCCCAAATTACTTATTGGAATCAGCCTAAGGTTTATATGTTTTTCTTGTTGGTTACCGTGACAAGGAACATATCTCTTCCCTCCCTGCAAATCTTCCTGCTCAGTTGTTGTCCATTGTGCTTTTTTTCCAAATTGTCTCTACTACCTGCTCTTGCTTGTACAGTGGAAACCTTATTAGTACGAACATCAATTAGGCAGGTTTGTGAAAAGTTTCGGAGATCTCGATTGGTTCACATTACAATAGGGTTGGACAACTTTCTGCCCAGAGCTGTCACGGTGTCCTTATGAAAGGGTGGGCCTCTAATGCCCAAGGGATTTTTAACTCCTAAAAGCCACCCATGCATGTATGAACATGTACTTTTTGTACCATCCTGTGATGAAGAAAGTTTGCTTTCACACTAGAAATTGTTCTGCTCTTTATTGTATACAGATAACATAGTTTTGTCTTACATGATAACCTGGGGACTCATGAGACTTCAGGGGAAGGGAAATAATCCACACACATACTCACGCACACTGGCCTCCACTTTCTCTCTTCTTCTCAGCACTTTCTCCACTCCCCCCTCACCACTTTCTCTCTGCTGCTGTCTTCCCCCAAACTTGCAGTCATGTTGCCTAGGCTTCATTGCCTCAGCTGTCAGGCAGCACCAGAACAGGCTGTGATGTCATGAGATAGCACAAGATTTTGGTTGGTATTCTCCATTTAGGGGAGGGTTTTAAAAAAGTTTTTTTTGGGGGGGGGTTCTCAGCAGGTATCAGGATTCTCCCAGGTTTATAGAAACCCCCCCCACACACACACACACTTGAACATGGCCTCGTTGTGCAGATTTTTTGATACACACTCTAGGGCCCTGTTCAAAATTAAATACAATAATTGAGGAGCATGCAAAGAGCAAGTAGGAAAGTATTCATTCTTTCAAAAATATGAACTAGTATGCAATCATTTGGATTGGATGGCAACAATTAAAAAATAAGGATTTGTTTTTTAACTGGGAATGGTCTGCATGTTGAAGGGAAGGACCTTAATAATAATCCCAGTTTAGCCCTCCAGTGTCTGATACTTCTCTGCTTTTAATAATGATTGCTGGATAATGACTGCTGAATGACATTTCTCAGATCTTACAACTTGGTCCTAAATATGTCTAATTGAAGACAGACCTCACTGAGGTCAGTTACTATTATCATGTTGTAGATTGGGCCATGGGGTGTTGAAGCTTGCTAAAGACCCACTAGTAAATTATGTGGCAGAGGTAAGATTTGAACTGGGATTGTATTGGATCTCTCTGTCACTCAATATGAAGGAAGTGTTTCAAGCATTTTGATTGCAAAGACTGCTGTTCTTTGCAGCACTAACAACAATCAAGATTTTTAATTTAAAAAAAAATACTTAGCTTTAAAAGGCTATTTGTTTAATATTTATTTGAAATATGTACATCCTACTTTTCTCCCAATCCGTGGGACTCAAAATAGCTTTTATCATTACAAGATTACCTTTCATCTAAAAAGCCATACAGAAATACAATACAAATAATAAATATGTGTGTATAAAATGTCGTCAAATCACAGCCAACTGATAGCGATCCCAGCAAAGGGCTTTCAAGGCAAGTGAGAAGCAGAGTTGGTTTGCCATCGCCTTCCTCTGCAGGGCCTTCCTTGGTAGTTTCCCTTCCAAGTACCAGAGGTCATTTCGGGGGGGGGGAACGCGGGGGATCGCAGTTCCCCCAGGTGAGGTGGGGGCGGGGCACACGACGAAGCCCCGCCCCCTGCTTCCGGCCGCCCCGCTTCCGGCCCTCATTCAGCCAGGAGGAGGCAGGAGAAGAGGGAGGGTAAGTTTCTTCCTCCCTGCCTCTCCCCACCCCTGCCTGCCTGGGGCCAGGGAGGGCCTTCGTGGGGCTTCCTCGCACTCCCGCCGGCCTTGCAGGTCCACCGCCGGGCCTTATGATGTCAGGGGGTGTGGCATATGCTAATGAGTTATGCTAATGAGTTCCCCTAGCTCTTTTTCTACGAAATGACCCTTGCCAAGTACCATACCATGCCACCTTCCCACCTACACAGATAAAAATTTGTCAGTTAATTGTTACTTATCACCCTGACTGTCCTCTGCTCAGGAGCCACAAAAAATATGTTAGAAAAGTTCTGCTGCTTTCCAGAATATTTGCAGGGTGGGTCTTTCATCACATTTTCTGAGAGAGCATTCCCTAGAACAGACGCAACCACTGAGAGAGACTGAACAGGAACAGTTCTTGCATCCCTGAGTGAAAGGACAGATTGAAACCCACCGTCTGATGACTGGAGCTCCTGTGTAGGCACATATGAATTAGACCAGGAGTCCCCCGACGTGGTGCCCTGGTGCCTGCCAGCACTTTTCCTGGTGCCCACCAAGGGTCGTTAGAAAGTGGGCAGGGCTTGTGCCCAGCAGGGCTTCTGAAGGCATCCTGTTGTATAGAGCTCGTGCCTTAAATGTTGAAGGGTTACCATGAGACCAGTCTTCCCTCTAAGCTGAGTCAGTGTGAGGTAGCTCACAGTTTTTTAGCCTCCGGCGCACACATTTTTGTCTCAGCTCAGGGAGGATGGCTCCAGAGCAAACTAATTTATGCGATAGCCAAATCGCTCGCTCACAACTTTAATGCCAGTAGCTCACAGAGTAGAATTTTTGCTCACAAGACTCAACAGAGGGAGCACTGCACGAGACTTTTGCGTAACCTCGCTCCCTGACATTTTGTGGTTGGCTCCACCTCCTCTGACAGCCATTTTGTCATTCCACCAATTATGCTACTTCAGAATTCCAAAGTTGCCCGCAGGCTCAAAAAAGTTGGAGACCCCTGAATTACAGATCTGCTGTTACAAGGGTCCCGGGTCATGAAAGCCTCTTTTGCCTATTTCGGACTTCAAATAAGTTTTCAAAAGAGGGTTCTGTATGCCATATTTTTAAAAACTAGAAGTATGCCTGAAAACATTTGTTTGGATCCAGCCAGCATTCCTGGTGGTGAAAAAGGGAGGAGGGAGCCCACTTTGTCTACCCAAAAGACTATTTGGGGATTGTGGGATTTATACAGGCAAGACATGTGGGACAGTGGTTGTAGCAAGGAGGAGAATTAGGTGAGACTGAGGGGAAATGTGGCTAGATCCAACCCCTTGTTAGGTTTCCTGACTTAATGAACATACCTAACATCTTTTGAACATTCTTTTTAGGGTTTTATCAGTTTTGATGATCAGCATATCTGGTGTTATCTCGCAGAGTTTTCGAGATCGGTTGATACAGAAGGCAGAGTTTCTTTTGGATACGGTGGATCCCACCCCCTTGAACCATGCCAGGAGATTTGTACATTTTCTACGGAATGTAAAATTCTGTCATCGTCCTTTGCTACACAAGTGTAATAAGGTTTTTCTTCAGAATGTGAATCAATTGGATTTGGACAGCCTGGGTATCATCCTTGGATTCTACCAGCTCTTACAGTTTAACAACACAGAATTTCGATTGGCTGCGAAAGAAAAATTGACAGAAATGATGGACGACTGTACCAGTACTTTGAGGTTCACTCGTCTATTTGCTGCTCTCGCTCCTATGGCAGGACCAGAAGTCAGAGAACAGTAAGTTCAGCCATTCTTTGTGTGTGTGTGTGTGTGTGTGTGTGTGTGTGTGTGTATACGCACATTTTTTCATGTATAAAGTCTTACTATAATTAGTGATCTGCCAAGGGTTTTCCCCATCTGTGTATTTTTTTTTAATCCTGCCTTTCCTTTCAAGGAACACAAGGCAACAGCATGCATGGTTCTTCCTTCCTCTATTTTGTCCACAGAGTAACCCTTTGGAGAAGGTTAGGCTGAGAGAAAGAACGAGTTTCCTGGCAGAAGTGGGCTTTGAACCCGAGTCTCCCAGCTCCTAGGCCAACACTATCATCAAACGATTGTTGCCCTTGAGGGTCTTTTCCAATGTATCTTTAGGCTGTAACAAAGGGAAACCGCAATAAAAATAAACTCGGGGTGATTTCCCACAAGCGCTGCTCTGCGCTCACTCTTCTCTTTGGCCCGATGGGACGTGTCAATTTCACACAAGCTGCTGCGCGACCGCATGTTGCCCCACAGCTTTGTGCGATTTTCCCCGCGTCTACTCAGTCCTGTTTTTTGAGGATTGAGTAGACGCGGGGGAAATCGCACGAAGCTGCAGGGCAAAATGCGGTCGCGCAGCAGCTTGTGTGAAATTGACACGTTCCATCGGGGCAAAAGGGAGGAGTGAGCGCGGAGCAGCGCTTGTGGGAAATCACCCTGAGTTTATTTTTTAAAATTCTTTTTATACCCCAGTTTTCTTCCCAGTGGGAACCCAAAGCAACTTATATTGTGCTTCTTTCCTCCATTTCATCCTCACCGAAAGCATGTAAGATCATCTGACTGGCCCGAGGTCAACTTCTGTGGCAGAGGGGAGCTATGTAGATATCTGGGTTTCCCAGATCCTAATCTGACCCTCTAACTACTATACCACACTAGCTATAATAACTGCTGGTCCCGAATGATGTAGTGCTCTGAAGGTCAACACCAGCACCTTGAATTGTGCTTGGAAGCAAATTGGGAGCCAGTGTAGATGAGCCCAGACTGGAGTGATAGGGTCCCTATGACCCATTCCAGTCAACCTCCTGGCTACCCCAGCCAAAGTTTCCAAACATTTCTCAAGGGCAGCCCCACACAGAGCACACTGCAGTAGCCCAATCTAGAGGTAAGGGCACGTACCACGGCAGGTGGATCTTTTCTAACCAGTTGAAGTAGGTAAAGGGCACTCCTGGCTTTTTAGAAGTCTTCTAGGACACCAGCTGTTTTTCCATATTATAGCTAATAATCCAGAAAAGTTCAGCTGCTACTTCTGGCCTGGAGAAAGACAACAAGGCCTTACTGAGCACCCTTAGGCCCTTCCTCAGTGGTACTGGAGGTTGCTATATGTCATGCCAGTGGGAGGATTTGGAGGGCATTCCGGGATGTCCCCAACATGTTGGTGTCACCCAGAAATGATGTCATTGCATCAGGGGTGACACCCTGGTTTTTGGGCAAAACTCTATGGTAAAACCAACTTCGAACCGTAGAGTTTTGCCCTCAAACCAGAGCATTGCCGTGCAGTGCCCCGATGTGATGACATCACTTCCAAGTGACATCATTGTGTTGGGGACATCGTACAGCGACATCACTGTTTCGGAGCAAGGTTTCCACTGCTGGCCAGCTAGCCAGCAGCAGGCAGAAGCCTCAAAAACCAGGGGGACCCCCCGCCAGGATCTGGGGACTGGCAACGCTATTGCTATATTACAGCCATATGAGGATCCAGAGTGACATTGCACCGAACTTCTGTTGCTGTGTTTGTTGCACAACCTTACTGCTTTGTTCTTAAAGTATTCCTAGGCCGATCCTCGTAACTGCTATTTTTCCTAGCTCGTGGAGACACAAGCCTTGCTTTACCTGGGGATTGAGGGAGCATAAGTAACGGTTCTCTACAGGAGCAGGGAGCCGAGCTTCCTAACTTACTAGTTCTATTGTTCGTACTTTAAAAAAAATGTATATATTCCTTACATTTTTGTCCAGTCTTCCCTCCAAGGAAATGTCATCTCTGCTCCTCCATTTCGTCCTCACAACAACCAAAAGAGAAGGAGTAGGTTGAGTGGCAGGACCAGGGTCACTCAGTGAGTTTCGTGGTAGCAGGGATCTGAATCAGGGTTTCCCCAGACCCAGGCCAGGACAAACTGCTATATCACACTGGCTCCCATACTTGTACTGTTTCTTTGACACTGGCCGCAAATGGGCTTTTCCCCATCTCGCGCACAAATCCTTGTAGTAGTGGCAAAATGGGTTAAGAACATAAGAAGAGCCCTGCTGGATCAGACCAGTGGTCCATCTAGTCTAGCATCCTCTCTCACACAGTGGCCAATCAATTACCGTACTCCACAGGGCAAACAACAGGGCACAGAGGCCAAGACCTTCCCTTGATGTTGCCTCCTAGCACGGGTATTTAGAGGTTTTCTGCTTCTGAACATGGAGATTCCCTTTAGTCACTCTGGCTATTACCCACTGATAGATTATCCTCCGCGAATCTGTCTGATTCCTTTTTAAAGCCGTCTATACCTGTGGCCATCACTACATCCAGTTCCTCTGGAGCAGCAAATTCCACATTTATATCCCTTATGTGCAAATGAGTGCTTTCCTTTCTTTCCTTCTTGAATCTACTGCCCATCAACCTCATTGGATGTCCTAAAGGAGGAGAACGTTTTCTCTGTCTCCTCTGTTATTGAATTGGGAATTTGACATGCTATATTTTCAGTGTGACCCTCAGTGAAAATGGCTTCTTGTCATGCCCCCAATCATGGGTGGGTGCTATTTGGTTTTCACAGTGAGTTTTGCTCTGTTTTCCCTCACGCATTTCCTTCCCTTTCTTTGATATGTGATGTAGACACCGTGCTACCTTCTCTGAACCATTGGAAACTTGCAAAATGCTTCTTTGCTTTCTTTTTTTAGGTTAATTGAAACTTCTCTGCTGATGGCAGATGAATTTGACCATCTCCAAGCGTTGTGCATGATAGAAGCCATGCAAGAAATGGCATGCAGAAGTTCACAGCTGATTCAAAAGTAAACCTTCAATACGAAGCACTTATTAAATCTCTACATTTAAAGGGCAGTGTAGTCTATGGATGGTAGAACACGGCAAGATAAAAAAAACTGTGTGTGCATGGAACTGTATCGATATATCATTTCACTTTCATACACCAGTCTCAAAAACTGTAGGTTGTATCTTACTGACCTCAGGTTGTCTCAAAAACTGTAGGTTGTATCTTACTGACACTGTCTTATAAAGCAGCTGCAACGTGCCCTGATTAACGATCGAGCTACCCACATTTCTTTTTTTGAAGTCAGGGCCAGAGGTTAAAATGTTTGTCACTGAGAAGAGATTATATACCTGCTTAGGGGGAGTGATTTTTACCGATTTCCTCCCCCTTGTGGCAGCCCTCCATTCCCCCCCCCCGTGCTGTTCCTGGGGGCCTCTGTCCCCCAGCAGCATCACTTTGGGCTGCAACGGGAAGTGGGGAAGCAAGAAAGTTGCAGTCTGTGGATGGAAATCCTCCCACCCGTGGTAAATTTCGGTGGGATCCCAGCTATTGTGCTCATGTCACAGCTGTCCTGATCCTGTAAGTTATTACATATAGAAATCTGAACCAGAAGTTTTAATTAAGTCTTTTAATGATTTTCCGACACATTGTGATAAATTTTGTCTCATCATTTTTTTAAAAAAAAATTCAGGATTTCTTCTGTCCTCCTCAAATACTTGGATCTCTACAATCCAGCAGAGTTGACCAGGATAACGCAGTCCCTGATCATGCTCCGTTGCCCTAATCCTGACCTTTACACCAAATTACAAATACAGCTAATCAAGTAAGAGAAATTACATTTAAATGAGTGGATGTATTTCATTTTTCGTTCCTCTGTTTACTGTCCGCGTCCCTATGGGTTTGTATGTTCAGAACTTTGGAGAAGATGTGGTGCAGAACAAAGCTGTAAATAACACCGCCTTGTAAATATATGTCCCCCAAAAGCTGCTAGCCCACAGATATGTGTACCGGCTCCCCTCCCTTCTTATTCAGACATTTGGAGGGGGCCGTAGATTAGCCCTGCTCTGGATAGCCCAGGCTAGCCCAGTCTTGTCAGATCTTGGATCTGGTCAGTAATTTGGATGGGAGGCCACCGAGGAAGTCCAGGGTTGTGATGCAGAGACGGGTAACAGCAAACCACCCCTGAACGTCTCGTGCCTTGAAAACCCCACCAGGGGTCACCCTCAGTCAGCTATGACTTGGTGGCAAAAAAGAAGATTAGCCATAGAGCCCTTCCTCCGTTGCATGAAGAGGGCCCCTGATTGCAAGCCCTGACAATGCAGAGATAAATTGGTCTGACTTAATATTACTGTGCTGACCCTGTGCGGTCTGTGAACCAAGGTATCCCTGGGAGGAGGTGAGTGATAAGAGAATCTGAGGGGGGTCCCGACACTTTAGCCCAGTAAACGAGATGCCGTAATGCATTAAGGTGGAGTGCTGTGGGTCCGTGGTAAAGCTTAACACGCGGATGGTCACTCTCAGACTCTGACATCTCCAATTGCAGGGGCTTGGAGGGTAGGTGTAGGCAAGGAAGTTCTGTCAGTCCTCACAAAAACCAGAGAAAGGAACAGAATTGTGTAATGCCTTTCTAAATACAAAGTAAATATTGACTAGGTATAAGTAATTATATAACATACGTACAAAATGGAGAAATATCGGTACTTGGGTATTTAGAGTCTGGAAAGCGTAAATCGTTTTGGAGATTATATAAAAGTGACATTCAGAAAAAATAAAAGCACACAGTCATTTTTTGTTATACTGTTGATCTGAAGGGGGGGGGGGGGAGGAACCCTTCTCTTCCAACGTCCAAAAGCTTTCCTGCCACATTGCCTTGCCATAATTCATAGTCACCATAGGTCAGTGTCTTCCACCATTTTGGACCCACTGGATGGCAGGCATGTCACATAAGAGTCACATGACAGGAAGAGGGGGGCCAGCAAGACTATGCGTAGCAGGCCAAGAGAGGCAGGGGTAGGAAGTACAAGCTGGAGATGCACCACAGCAAGAAACAAGGCATGAGTGAGAGCCATGAAGGTGTCCTTTGCATTGCTGAGTGACAACCTCTCACCATCCTGCTGCTCCTTTACTTGCAAAGAGAATTTGTGGTGTCCTTGTTTCTTCTGTACCCAGACTCACAATAGATCCTTCCAAAAGGGAGTGAAACAGATGGCCACTCTAGAGGGACTTGTGACCCAGCAGGTGGTGTTCTGCGACCCACCTGGGGGTTCCAGCCCATGGGCAAAAGATCTCTGCCATGCGTGGCCAGGCAAGTGATCTTTATAAGCTTGAAATAATAGTTAGAAATCCAATAAAAACACTTTAGCACAGTAAATGAGATGCCGTAACGCATTAAGGTGGAGTGCTGCGGGTCCGTGGTGAAGCACATGGCTTAACACGTGGATGGTCACTCTCAGACTCTGACATCTCCGTTGACATTTAAGTTCCTTTCCAAGGTCTTTCTCCAGACAATATAATCACAGTAGTTCTGTTATCATTTTAACCTTTTTCCCCTGGCAGTTTTTATAATGCTGTATATAAATGTTGGTACTGCGCGTAGCTGCATCTGTCATAAAAATAATACATGAGAATTAGATCAAAGTATTTGATTGCTCTGGCCTAGTTTGTGGTTATATTTCCCACTTTCAAATGTATGGAGTGGTGTTAAATAAATACCGGTCCATAGATTCCTCTGACATCAGTGGGCTTTGCTTTCATGTAAATATGCTTATTATCAGGGTTTAAGATTAGGGTTGTCAGCTGTGGGTTGGGAAATCCCTGGAGATTTAAGCATATTTTCCAGGTTCAGATTTTAAGACTATATATATAGTCTAACAATGCTATAGTTGTTAGATTACAGTGCTTGCATTCTGAGGGAAAAGATGAAGAGAAGAGTGGAGGGTCATCTCGTGTGAAAAAACAGAATGCAGAGCTTTCTTGAGACCTAGAAGAGCTGCTGCCGGTCAGCGTACACATGAACACACATGCAGCTGCCTTATACTGAATTAGATCATTGGCCCATCAGGATCAGCATTGTCTACTCAGACTGGCAGCCGCTCTCAAGGGTCTCCAGGTAGGGTTGCCAGCCCCCAAGTCCGGGCAGGGACTTGGGGGCTGCAGTGAGAATACACCAACTTAGAGCTTACCAGCTGCTGTCCTTCATAGAGTTTATATCTCCGGTACCCGGCATTATGTTTTATGGCACACCCGGCCCGGCCCGGCAAAGTGACATTTATGTCAGATCCAGCCCTTGTCACAAATAAGTCCGACACCTCTGCCATAGAGTCCACCCTCCAAACAGCCATTTTCTCGAGGGGGACTGATTTGGGTCACCTGGAGATCAATTTATAATAGCAGGAGATCTCTAGGTGCAACCTGGAGGTTGGAAACCCTATTTAGGGTGCCAGGATATCTACTGATGGGCCACACATTTTTTCCCCTACTGCTCATCACTTTGTTTCTCTCTCTTTTCAATTCCAGCCACTTAAAAGCTAGCATCATACCTGCAGAAATCTCCATGCTCATTCGTACCCTTTCCGTGCTCCATTCTTCTTTCATGGATGAAGTCGTAGTTAGTCGAATCGATGCCATCTTGCCCCAGTGCAGGTTGAGTGATTTGAGCTCCTTTGCGGCAGCTATTATAAAATGGGTCCGACGGGACAAGTCCACTCGGCAAAGCCCTTCTGGGCTGTACGGGATGCTTCTGCAAAAAGTCAATAGCTGCGCCCATCAGAGGATAGAGAAAGCCAATGATCTGGATCTTCTGTTAGAGGAAATGAAGTATGCATCTGGGGAATGGTTTGAAGAAGTGCTTCTTGAAGATGCCATTGCCGCTTTTCAGCGCTTGAAGGACCAAATCACGTGGACAAATGTAGTGGAGTTTTCATCCTTTCTCACCAGAACCTCCTATCTCTGTCCTCCATTACTTGATAGAATTGCTGCTGTTATTCTTCAGCATTCTGATAAGGTAAAATAGCAATTCCCCCCCCCCCCATCCTTGCAAGTGACAGCACAAGCATCGTGTGGTATCTTTTTCTTTGTGTATTCTTAGGTCCAAAGTACGTGTTACATTTTCTCAAGTATATCCCCCTTTCAGGTCACAGACATGTTCTGGGAACTTTAGGCGTGCAGGGGCCTCAGACACCATCTGCACATTACAAAGTCTTCATGTATGTTGAGGAACAGCAGAAGGACTTTGCATCATTTCTGCAACAGGAGTTTTATATCTCCTGCCCTTTGCTGTTTTCACATCTGCACACCGCCCCATGGATCTGCTTGTTGGCTCCTATGTAAAAATTATGTTACTTAACATGGTTCACAACAGTAATAAGCCCCCTATTTGGGCATACCTTGCCAGAACTTCTTTTAAAGATACAATGGACTTGGGGTTCCTTCCGTGCTTGCTGCCATGCCACCCCAGTATGTCTTTTGCCACATTGTCATGGCAGATTGATCATAACCGTGTGCCCAAGAAGCATTTCCATGGGCCAAAGGATTTCCACCCACAGTGCAACATTCTTGCCTCCCCCCAATCCCACTGTAGGGTTGCCATTCCACAGTTGGGGGTGGGGGATCCCCTGGTTTTGTAGGCTTCTGCCCACCACTGACTAGCTGGCGGGCGGGAGGAACATCCCCCCCCCAATAGCAACGTTGCTGGAAATAAACGTGATGTGCCTATGTCACTCAGGAGTGACATGGGCACATTGGTGATGTTGGGGGTGACACTCTGGTTTTGGGGCAAAACTCTATGGTTTGAAGGTGATTGTACCATAGACCTTTGCCCAAAAGCCAGAGCATCGCCCTCAACATCACCGGTGTGCCTATGTCACTTCCGGGTGATGCAGGTACATCGCATGACATCGCTTCCGGCTCCCAGAACGTCCCCCCAATCCCCCCACCAGTGTTTCCAATGGACCTGGCAACCCTATCCCTCTGCAGTCTCAAATGCCTCCCCTGATGCTTCTCCATTACATGGGGCATCTTGGACTGCAGGGAAAGGTGAAAAAGTTCTGCCTGTGGAGCATGACCACTGATGCCTGTAGAAACACAGCACTGCATGTTAAGCCATGGAGATTCCAGGGCCAGGTATCTAGACCAGTTTGGAAACAAAAAGTTGTTTGTTTTGTTTTTAATCTACATGGTCAAGTGTATCCTCTGAGGAGCAAAGGGACAAAGAGGGAGACTTTTGGGCAATACGAAAGAAATCAAAGGTGGGCAAGTCATTGTCCCCATGGATTACTTACCTTGCCCCTACCCCAGGTAGGGCACCATCAGTAGTACTGTGGAGTGGCCGTAGGTGGAGTTGCACTTGCTGGAAGATCAAATGCAGAAAACTTAGGAGAAAAGATTATTGCTGTCACAGCTGAGACAGAGCTTGGAATCTTTTGCTTTCTCCATCTGCCAGACCTATTTTTATTTTTATTTTTGCTAATTTTGCATATATGTCTGGGCTAATTAGTTGGAATACTGACTAATAATGGCTTTCATTTGCCAAAGGAAGCCCTGCTAAACCTATGTAGCTCTTGTTAAAAAAAACAGTGATGGGAATAGTTCTTATGATGAAATGTCATGGTCCAGGTCAGAGGTCATTTCGGGGGGGATCGCGGGGGATCGCAGTTCCCCCGGGTGAGGTACGGGGGGCGGGGCACATGACGAAGCCCCGCCCCCTGCTTCCGACTGCCCCGCTTCCGGCCCTCATTCAGCCAGGAGTAGGCAGGAGAAGAGGGAGGGTAAGTTGCTTCCTCCCTGCCTCTCCCCACCCCTGCCTGCCTGGGGCCAGGGAGGGCCTTCGCGGGGCTTCCTTGCACTCCCGCCGGCTTTGCAGGTCCACCGCCGGGCCCCTCATGGGGCTCAGTAGTGGAGCTGCAAGGCCGGCGGTGGTGGTCGGGACTGTTGGGGGCGGGGTGTGTGGCCTTATGACACACTTCCGGTGATGTCAGGGGGTGTGGCCTTATGACACACTTCCAGTGATGTCAGGGGGTGTGGCATATGCTAATGAGTTATGCTAATGAGTTCCCCTAGCTCTTTTATACGAAACGACCCCGGTCCAGGTAGATATGAACAAGGCCTGAGATGGTGCGGGTGATCAAGTGCCCTGAAGTTTACCCCTCGTTGGTGTCCTGAAGGTGGTTTGAGCAAATAGGCAGCCCAAAAAGCCAGCACGTCTATTGATGGGCTTGGTAATCAACTACCTTCCTGAGCCAGATGGAGGTACCAGTCTCTTATTTTGCCATGGTGAACATAGCTGCAAAGGAAAAGACTGGAATGTTTGCCGGAAAAGAGGATCCCTATCTCCTGTGTATGCCTTTGGCCCTGGCCTGGATAGCTCCGGCTAGCCCAATCTGGCCAGATCTAGGAAGCTAAGGAGGGTCAGCCCTGGTTAGTATTTGGATGGGAGACCACCAAGGAAGTCGAGAGTTGCTATGCAGAAGTAGGCAATGGCAAACCACTTCTGCTCATATCTTGCTTGAAAACCGTACAAGGTTATAATGAATTGGCTGCAATTTGTTGGCAAAAAAAGAAGTACCTACGTTACGAGGAGCCAAGGAGGATATCCTTGTAAGCACTGAATGTGTACGTGGCCCTGAAAACTCGGCTGCTGGCTTGACCAGACCATTTCCTTTAAGATATGAGGAAAGATGTAGAATTTCCAGATTTCTTTTTTAACAACCCTGTTTGCTGAAGAAAGTGGGGGGAGGGAATAAAATATATACAGTACGTGCTTTCCTATAAAAGTAATATTATTTTATGGCTTTACTAATGTAAATGGCTTCGTTTTCTCTGAGCAGAATTGCAAACATACCCAACAGCTGAGAGGGGGGGGGGCTTCCTTATCACATATAGCTTAATATATGCTTTTCCTCCTGAGAGGCAAGAAAAAAAGTTTAAATTAGAAAACAAATTTTGTAGTTAAAACAAAAGGAAGTGTATAATTTGGACACAAACAGTCCTATACAGTCGCAACAGGGCTACCAGCATATATGGATATCGAACTAACATATCCTTTAAAAGTTTGTATATAACTATAGAACACCTACAAATGCAAGTCGTGTTAGATAAAAATATTTATGTTACATATTTTGAGTGGGTAATACCCTTCTTGAAAAGTATTTCAGTCATTCCATAAGAAAATACTTCATCAGGTTTTTTCCCCCCAGTGAACCCCAAAATGTTCCAGTTATTCTGTTTTTAAAAAAGTATGAGGGGAAATAAGAAAAAATGTGTTCCCCCCCCCCCAGATTTCCCCAATTTCCCCCCCAGACTTTCGCATCTCTAGTTGTAAGCCAAAAAGTGATTTTAAAAAACCTGGCAAACCCAGTCGTAGGATTGACAGGTCTGAGTTGGGAAATACCTGGAGATTTTGGGTGTGGAACCTGGGGAGGGTGGGGTTTGGGGAGGAGAGGGTATAATGCCATGCAGTCCACCTTCCAAAGTAGCTGTTTTCTCCAGGGGAACTGATCTCTAGCACCTGGGGGCCAGTTGTAGTTCTGAGAGATCTCCAGCCACCGCCTGGAGGTTGGCAACCCTACATGGTAAACAGCCATACTTTCTTTCTTCTCCAGATTTACAGTTCAGGGACTTATTCTCTTCTCCTTCCCTTTGCAAGTCTGAATTATGACCCTCCCCAAAGCGAGGAGTTTTTTAACACATGCATTGGACATCTCAGCTGTCATTTGGGTAAGTACCTCACAGACATATGGTTCCTTATCAGTTGACATTTTTCCCGTGGTGCACATTGGCAGGGTGTGAGAAGGACAGCGTTTCAAATGACGTTCTTTTTTTGGTTCTTAAGGAAAGAATCAAAATAATATTCAGAGGCTTTTGCTGTTCCTTTGCATGGACTGTTCCAACAAGAATTGGAGCTTGTCTAAGAATAGATTTTTAAATTGCATTAACTACAGAGTTTAAAATGAAGAATGGTGACATGGATGCTGTCCCTTTCTATAATCTTTCAGAATAACGAAAGTGATATGCAGGAAAGCATTTAAAACGGGGGTCTGCAACAGGGAGTTTGTGAGTTACCAGCAGCTTTTCAGCTGCTACGGATTGGCTTATGCATCCCTTGAAGACCCAGGAAAAAAGATCCTTTAAAGAGGCTTTTATTCCATAAAATGTTAATTTGTAGTGCTTAGAAAAGCACAAGAACGGAAGGTTATCAGCTAAATCCACGTTCTGTTTCCAGGACTGAGCAAAATTTGGTAACATGATGCGGAGGGGGGCGGCAGTATAGCCTGGGATATTTTTCCTGACTCAGAAATAGCTGTTATTAAAGAACAGGTAGCCAGCCCTTGATTTAAACCAATGAATAATGGAAACCTGCCACCTGCTGATACAAACAACACATTGTTTAAAAAAAACACAACATTTTGTTTTGTTGCTCCATGGCGGGGTGCGTAGGCACTTGCGCTGTGTGCTCGGGAAGCGGCTCCACTGAGTGCGCTTGGCTGTGGGTTGACCTGATTGCAGAGCTTGCTTAGGTCTGCCAGTGTGCAAAGAAAGCTCTGTTGGGCAGGGGCCTTCTGAGTGCAAGTGTGGGAGTAGCCTCAGTAGAGGTTTGGTTCCATAAACTCTGCTGGAGACAGCGTAGGTAGAGGGGCTATTATCCGATCAGAAAAGTAATGAGTAGTCCAGGGCTGGAAAATAAGGTTTTTGTTGTGGATCAGCAGACTGTTCATCAGATCGTTTTTAGAACGGTGGTCTTTATCATTGTGCTTACCAGTTACCCGATTAGGGGCAAGAAGCACCAGTTATAATAGGAACAGAGGGTGACTTCTCTCCCCCCGCCCCCCCAAACATGCAAAGAGTTCTTAAATATTTCCTTGCCGTATTCACCCAGCCATTGTAGATGCTGGAAAACTGAGACCGATTTCACACAAGAGCTGTGCCACGGTCGCGCCTCCCTTTGCCCCGCTTCTATTGGTCAATTTCCCACTCGAAGCCACGCGGCCGCATTTTGACCCGCGGTTTCGCCTGATTTTTCCTGTGGTTTCATGATCCTCAAAAAACAGGATCACAAAACCATGGGGGAAATCGGGCAAAGCCGCAGGTCAAAATGCGGCTGCGTGGCTTCGAGTGGGAAATTGACCGATAGAAGCGGGGCAAAGGGAGGCGCGATCGTGGCACAGCTCTTGTGTGAAATCGGTCTGAGGGATTGCAGAGGTGTTTGTGAAGTCTGGAAATACAGATTTGAGGAGCGTGTTTGTTTTCCGTGCTGTGCAATACAAGAAAATATGTATTTTGCCTCTGTAGCACCCGGTGTCAACAGCAACAACGAGAGAGAGAGAGAAAGAACATTGTTTGACTTGTGTTTTTCCTTCACATTTGATCAAACAGTGAAGCTTAATCCAAGAGACGTAGCAGGGTGTTAACTGAGGTTCTAGCAGCACTGTCTGCAGTGCAGAACAGTAGAAAACAGATGTGATGCTCCATTTTGGTCAGGCTTCCGTCATCCACAGCATAGCAGGAATTCTTCTCAGTATGGCAATCATACCGGGCAGTGTTCCATGCAGCAAATGAAATTATCTCCTCTGCCTCTACTTTCAGTAAAGCCTCGTGTGCCAGTGAACCCACCGCTGGTGGAACTTGCAAGAGGGGCAGTCCCACCTGCCTTTTCCTCCTCTGTGCAGCTGCCCTTGTTGTGTGGCTTTCATCCACATGAGGCTGTGCCAGTATGAACAGGCATTTAAGATGCATGGTATATGTTGATGGGAATGTATTTGCTGCCGAGAGATCGTGCAGTGTTCAAGTGTGCTTGTTTTCCTAAGACAGAGATGAAGGTAGTACCAGTGAGGCTAAGGAATTTAGCATCAGGAGAACCTGTTTTTGTTTGGGGACAAAAAGGCAACCCTTAATAACTTGGGAAGCATCGGGTTGAGTCTTACGTCTTCTGCTAAGTTGGATCCTGTGACTCTCTTCTGTTGAGCCTTCCTCACTGGGAGAAAGACTTGCTTCCATGGAGAATGACCCTTTCTGATGGAGAAAACTATTTCTTTGTTTGTGGGAGGAAGACTTGGGGGAAGAGAGGCGTGGTGGTGGGAAGTGCCATCCAGTCGCAACCGACTTACGGCAACCTCATAGGGCTTTCGAGGCAACAGACGAACAGAGGTGGTTTGCCATCGCCCGCCTCTGCGTAGCAACTCTGGTCTTCCTTGGGGGGGGGGTCTCCCATCCAAGTGCTAACCAGGGCCTGGAAGGGTGTCATAGGACCCCACATTTGGGCAGCACATGCTGAAATCTCCAAATGAGAGAAGAAGAGGTAAACTGTACATTCAGTGCTACCGTTCTGCAGCCCACCTACCTGTGATTTTCATTTCCTTTCCCCCATTCCTTTTGTCCTTGCCCAGAATTCCCAGAGTCTGAGTCCTGAGACCAGAGTGACATTGAATAAGCAGCTCCATGCTGCTGTGTTAAAACACACAATCGTGATATAGGGAGGGAGAAAAGGGGGGGGAGTTCTGGTCCCCCCCATCTGTGTTGCCCTTGCTGCAAAGATAACGTTAATGCCAGGTCTCTATGGGATCTTTTTATACAGGCCGTTTTGAGCCCCATCTCCTCGTGCTCCTGGCTTTTGCTTTGGCTCTTGCTGAGTATTTTCCAGAGAATTTGGTAACGGCAATATTTAATGTGGAGTTCCTCGCCAAACTGGATGCCCAGCTTGCAAGTAAGTGACAGATCTCAGACACCTTTTCCGTTTCTTAAGTTTTAGAACGTGCATGTCTTGTTTCTGTTTTGGAACAAAAATGGCCACCATAAATGCTCGGTTGGATCCAGCAGCGCATGAACAGAAAAGAAAAAGTACTCAATGTCGTTCCGCTTGAGCAAGCAGTTATACCAGGGCTGCACTAACACACAGTGCTTTACTGTACATTTTTAACAAAATAGCAGTGGGCATATGGAACAATAGAATGTCCTGCTGCTAAGTTTACATAATTTCATTTAATACGGTATTGAAATTATATCAGACGAAATATCTTATGTGGTGTCTTGCATACACAGAGAAGGTTTACAGGAATACAGTTGCTTTCCTAGAGCGAGCAGACAGTGAAAAGTAATTTTCATGCTCTACTTGCATAAGGACAGTGGTGCACATGGAATTTTTTTTGTGGGACCCAAGCCACTGTGCTCTCCGTTTAGTGGAGATAAAGTTTTTAGGAAACAAGCTAACGCTGAATTCTCTGCTCACTTACATCCCGTTGAACTCAGTGGAAGTGCCTCCAAAGGAAACGTGCCCAATAAATAGGGCTTCATGAGCAATGACTCACAGGCGTTCTTAAGCTGTGAAGTCATGCTCCCCCTTTGTGAAAAACTTACTTTTTGACAGCTCTTCTTCAGCAGTTCCAACTACCTTCGCAATCAGACCTTTGGCCCCCACTGTAGCAATGTAGAATAACAACTGTGTAGGATGTTATCCTGGGTTGGTCCCGGTGTAACATTTCTGCATGCACTAAACAAGAAAAAGACCACACGTGCATTAAGGCAGCTGCGGTGGCTCAAGTGGTTAAGACGCTGAACTGCAGGCTGTGGAAGGTTGGTAGTTCAGCAGTTCGAGACCCGAGTGTGCCGCATGATGGAGTGAGCTCCCATCTGTAGTTCCAGCTCCTGCCAACCGAGCAGTTCGAAAGCAAGAAATTGCAAGTAGATAAATAGGTACCACTTGGGTGGGAAGGTAACAGCGTTCCGTGAGCCTTGGTGTTTAGTCACGCCGGCCACATGACAACGGAAACGTCTTCGGACAGCGCTGGCTCTTCGGCTTTGAAACGGAGATGAGCACCGCAACCCTAGAGTCGGATTCGACTGGCTTTCGAGCAAGGGGACCTTTACCTTTACCTTTAATGTACCCCCACTTGCGTTTCCACTTGCACAAGATCTTCTGCAACTCATTCCTGGGCACTATAATATATAGAAAAGCTGTAGGTGTTGTTCAACATCTTGCACAGGCGGAACTGTGCTAAGTCTGTTTATGTTTCTTCTTGCACATTGGTGGATCTGAGCCCCTATTTTACTGTTTGCTAATGGATGGCATGCCATGTGCTAAACATTTTTGTATTTTTTAATAAATCAGTACTTCCAGATACCTTAAACAGGAGGGTCCGCTTACGACTGATGGAACTGAACCGCGCTGTGTGTCTGGAGTGCCCGGAGTTTCAAGTTCCGTGGTTTCACGAGCGCTATTGTCAGCAACTGCAGCAAAAAAGTGAGTAATTAAGATTCTTCCCGGTTAAATGCTAGAACGATTGTCAGTGCCACAATTCATTAGAAAAGCTCAAAGATAGCCTGTTCTTCAGTGGGCTTCAAGTCCCATATTTTAACACAGACATATTTCCTCTGGAATACTATACAAGCTTCAAAAGAAAAAAGGCAGTAAAAAACCCTGTGCTTTAGTAAGAAATACTAAATGATTTAGATGATACTAAATTGGGAGGCTTAGCAAATACAATAGGAGACAGAATCAAGATACAGAATGGTCTTGACAGGCTGGAAAACTGGGTGAAAACGAATAAAATGAATTTCACCAGAGATAAAACTAAAGTTCTGCATTTAGGTAAGAAAAGTCAAATGCATAATTATAGGATGGGGAGACTTGTCTTGGCAGCAATATGTGCAGAAAGGATCTAGGGGACTTAGTAGATCATACACTGAACGTGAGTCAGCAGTGTGATGTAGTTTCTAAAAAGGCAAATGCAATTTTGGGCTGTATCAACAGACGTATAGTGTCCAGAGCACACAAAGCGATGGTATGACTTCATTCTGCTCTGGTTAGACCTCACTTACAGTATTGTGTTCAGTTTCGGGCACCACAATTTAAGAAGGATATAGACAAGCTAGAACATGTCCAGAGGAGGGCAACGAAGATGGTGGGAGGGGGTCTGGAGCAATGTTCCCTCTAAGCTGTGGAGTCTTGTGAGCAGAAATTCTACTGTGTGAGCAACTGGCATTAAAGTTGTGAGCGAGTGATTTGGCTGCTGCATTTGGCTGCTGTTTGCTCTGGAGCCATCCTTCCCGAGCTAAGACAAAAATGGGTGAGCCGGAGGCTTAAAAAACTGTGAGCTAGCTCACACTAACTCAGCTTAGAGGGAACACTGGTCTGGAGACCAAATCCTAAGAGGAAAGTTTGTTTAGCCTGGTGAGGAGCTGACTGAGAGGTGAAATGATAACTATCTTTGAATACCTGAAGGGCTGTCATATAGAGGATGGTACAGAGTTGTTTTCTGTTCCCCCAGGAGATCAGACCAGAACCAGTGGATTGAAATTAAATCGAAAGAGTTTTCAGCTAAACAGTAGGAAGAACTTCCTGCCAGTTAGAGCAGTTCCTCAGTGGAAGAGGCTTCCTCAGGAGGTGGTGGGCTCTCCTCCTTTGGAGGTTTATAAGCAGAGAGTAGATGGCTATCTGACAGCAACGCAGATTCTGCAAATTTAGGCAGATCGTGAGAGGGAGGGCAGGAAGGGATGGTCTTCTGGCCCTTTCTTATCTGTCCAGGGTAACGCTGATTGCCACTTTGGGGTCAGGGAAGAATTTTCAGACTGGCCCAGGAATCCTGAGGTTTTTTCCCCTTCCTCTGAACATAGAGCAGGAGTCACTGGGTCAGTTGGAGGGTAGCTGTGAATGTCCTGCATTGTGCAGGTTGTTGGACTAGATGACCCTTGCTTGCTGTATGTTTCTGTGTTTCTAAATATTGCCGCTATGAAGTGATTGAGGGGGAGACTCATGTGTTTTTCCCCTTCAGTTCTGATTGTTGCTTGTTGTGTTTTTGCAGGTGGTGGAATCCTTGGTGCATTGCACCAGCAGATCTACAGACTGCTGGGAGAAATCTTGGGAGGAAGCCATTTTGCCAAAACATCTGCTCTCACCCCCTACTATTATGGAATAGGTGAGTGTTCACCTCAGTGGAAGTCAATGTTCTCTTTAAGCTATGGAGTCTTGTGAGCAAAAATTCTACTTTGTGAGCAACTGGCATTAAAGTTGTGAGCGAGCGATTTGGCTACTGCATAAATTAGTTTGCTCTGGAGCCATCCTTCCTGAGCTAAGACAAAAATGTGTGAGCTGGAGGATAAAAAATGTGAGAGCTAGCTCACACTAACTCAGCTTAGAGGGAACACTGGTGGAAGTCACCTTTGAGTTGTTATTTTTACAGTGGACGCCTTCAAAACGTTCAGAGTTTTGTTAGCTAGTTTTAATGGCCACTAATTTTAATGGTTTTCTGTTGTGTGATAACTCTTGCCAAATCGTGTCTCGCAAGGAACAGCTGCAGCTGGCCAACTAGCCAAAGAAGGTTAAAGGCGCCAGTCTTCCATCTGCCATCGCAGATCTAAAAGCACTCACAAATCTGCTGCTTGAGTGTGGGGTGCAACTCTTTCCAGACCAGGTTGGCTGTGCAAAACCTCAGTTGGTCGTATTATCTGATCAACAGCACTTCAGTCCTCTCTGGATTGAGCTTTGGTGGCTTTCATCTAGCCCATGATTGCTGATGATGTACCGTTACCCTTGAGCAAGGTTTGCAGGGACTGTTCGTCGAAGCATAAAATGTGGTTGGATCGTGCTTTTACCAGTCCTTTGGGTAAACCCTTTCTTAGAAATACATTCTACTGAAATCAGTGATATGTATTTCCTAGTAAATACGGAAGGTCAGTGCGTTAGAAGACGTACTGGCTGGACACTCTGAAATGGGTGGGACTGGAGTAGCACAAGCAGGGAATTTATAGCTTCCAGGTACCACAGGCAACAACTGAAAGACAGAGAGCAACTTTGCTATAGAGGGGTGGTTTTTGTTTTTGTTTTTAAAGTAGCCTGTGCCTTTATTGCCTTGACCTTAAATAGCCCGTGAATGGTCTGGAAGCGTGTTGCTCTTTATTATTCTTGAAGCTAAGCAGAGATGGATGCACCATGCTGTGAGAACCCCACATTAGCCAAGCTTTCCAAAGAAGGGAAGAGGTAGGATATAAAGTGTAAAAGTACCTTTATAAAGAAAAGAGTAGAGGTAGGGTATAAAAGTGTAAACATTTGTGCCTGAATATCTAGTTTCGGTTCCCAAGGTCGCTTTGTGGTTTGTTATGTTGTGCGGTTTCATTGAGAAGGCTCGTTGGAAAAGACAATAACGCCAGGAAAAGTTGAAGGCAGCATGAAAAGAGGAAGACCCAACATGAGATGGACTGACTCAATCAGGGAAGCCACCACGGCCCTCAGTTTGCAAGAGCTGAGCAAGGCTGTTAACGATAGAACGTTCTAGAGGTCATGGATTTAAAGTGTATTTTTATGTATTGTGTAAGCCGCCCTGAGCCTGCCTTGGTGGGGTGGGCGGAGTATAAATTGAATAAAATAAATAAATAAATACTTCATAGGGTCACCAAAAGTCGGGAGCAACTTGATAGCACTTAACACACACTCCCCGCGCATGTTCCCTTGTGGCAACTGTGTTCTTCCCAGCATGCCAGCACTCCACTTTGTGTAAAGTATGTTTTGCAATGGCCCAGGCTCAGAAAAACGGTTCCTGTAACCAAGTCCCACTTTATCAGTTGATTGTACTTGCCTTTCAGACTTTGAATGTATTCTTGATAGAAACAAGAAGCCGCTTCCTTACGTAGAACAGAGTGTGGTCATGGCTGAGCTGGAGACCGTGCACTGGGGTCAAGATGGCCAGTTCGTGGGAAGGAAAGGGCTGCCACTGGGAGCTCAGAGGTAATTGTGTGTTTTCTGTTTGGGTGTATGTATTTCGTATTTCACTTCCTGCATACACATTTTTGCAAATATAAAAAAAAATCTGGGCACAGTGGGGTATACTGCACTTCACATCATGCAAGCTGTTGACGTAGACTTAAGATGTTAGCAACGTTGGATGGGGCCCAAAGTACCACGGGCAGGATGGAGCTTGCAGACGGGGACTTTTCCACTCATACTTCCCACAGAGCCCCCTGGAATTCAGCTTTTGGGGTGTACGGTGGCCTGCATGAACAACATGAGAGGGGGGCATAATAGGAATCTGCAGTGGGATGGGAAATCCACGGCCAGTGGAAGTGCTGTTCCACTGAAATAACCTTTCGAATCCACCCCACTGCTGATAAGTTGCACCTTAGTTGGATAGGCATCTGAAGGACAGTGAGGCAACCACAGCTGTTGCAGTCCATCTTAGCGTCTGTGATAGGGTTGCCAAGTCATTTCTCAGCCACAGCGGGGGACTCCCGGGCGGCTACTGGACTGAAAACAAAACCATAGACTTTTCCCTCCGATGGTCGTGGCCCCACCCCCAGCATGCCTGGCGTCCTAACGTCACTTCCTGGTGACACGCATGTCGGGGTGGGGTTCCCCCCTGTCAGGGTACCATCAATCAACGAGCCACTTCTCAGTCACGAGGATGACTTTATTAAAAGATGTGTCACTAACAAGATTTCTGTTTAGAATGGCGTGCAATACATCAAGCAGGTAACATGAACAAAGTTCAAACAGACTCTATACCAATGAGATCCTTTCCCGCCCGGGAAGAACAGCGCCAAAGTAATGGGAATCATAATGGCCTGGATATTCCAAAACATCGTACTTCCCAGGCTCTGAGCGATAGCAGTAGACATAAGCGTCCTCCCTTATCTCCCACCTGCCCTTGAAGTGTTTATGCGTTTCGCTAACAAGCTTGCCGTTTATGAGCATGCGCAAGGGTCACTAGGCAACAACTATCAACATATGAGTTAATACAGAAAGCAATGCAGGTTAAGAGGGCCTAACAGATGAAGCATATATACAAAGGATCAACCATGACAGCTTGCTGACACCCCTGGGGCCCGATCCGACCCCCGGGGGGATTTGGCAAGCCTAGTCTATGACTACCCTTGGAACATTTATACTCCTCACGTGGGATAAGATAAAATTCTATTTCCGTGATAAATGTGGTATAGTACAGTTATATGCATTTATAGTAGTTCTTGGGCCAAGGCAAACTGATCTTTTAAAATATATATATATCCTGCTTTTCTCCCCAATTGGGGACCCAGAGTGGCTTTTCACATCATCCCTTCTTCACTTAATCCTTATAACAACACCCTTGTGAGGGGTGGGGGAGGCTGAGAGACTGTGATGGGACCAAGGTCATCTATGGCAGAGTGGAGGATTTGAGCCTGGTTGTCCCAGGTCCTAGAGTTCACAGACTTTTCTATCTGTTTGCAAACATACGTGCACCCTGTTTTGGCTTGGTACCATTGGAAAGCACACCTTCTTTGCATTTACTCCAATTCATTTGTGAATGTCTCCTTTATCAATCCTATCTTTTAAATATTTGCATGTTTATTGATAGACCAACTGATACCTACACACCATCTGTGCATTTGCTGCTTATCCTTTAGCACATTGGTTTTTAAGTGTCTGCTTTGTAAAAAGGCCAATGTTTTGAGCAATTATACTTTTACTTTTAATTGCTGCCATGTCACAGCCAACGTATGGTGACCCCCTGGGGTTTTCAAGGCAAGAGACATTCAGAGGTGGTTTGCCATTGCCTGCCTCTACATAGAAGCCCTGGACTTCCTAGGTGGCCTTCCATCCAAGTCCTAACCGGGGAAAGCCCTGCTTAGTTGATGGGATCGGGCCAGCCTGGACCATACAGGTCAGGGTGAGGATACTTTGCTGTTACTTGTAAGCACATGCCCGCACAGCATAACTCTGCTCAGTTTGATATACAGTCAAGTGCATATCCACATAACGTCTTTTGGGAGAGAGATGTAATCTAGGTGTGCAAACTAATGAGCGAAGATTGAAAGAACTGGGAGAGCCATTTTATCAGAGTGCGAGTTCTCAGGACAGGGTGTGAATCAGACTGGTAAACTGCAGGCTGCAGCTTGAAGCCAGGATGCTTTTATTTCCTGAACTAGCTAGGAATGGTTTCTGGAATTTGTTCCCCATAAAGTCTGAATGTCTTGTTTTAGAATTGAAGGAGATTTTGTTTTCAGGTTATTTTGCTGGTACATTATAATTGTTGAGTGTAGGCCATGCACATTTATTTATTTATTTTTAATTCAGGATTGCTGTAGAATTTCTGGATTCAAAAGACTTTTGCAAAAACTCAGAACACCCCAAAGGAGAAGTTGTTATGAAGAAGAGACACTTGGAGATTCTGGGATATCGGGTTGTCCAGGTAGGCTGAATGCTATATTTCTCATCAATATTGTATAGAATTACAGAACTATGTGGGAAAATCTGATTACTTAAGGAATGTTTCCTGTCATAAATATTCAATCCCAAGGCCGCTTTTCTTGTAAATTATCCATTGAATGTATATGGGGGGGACAGTAGTAGAGAAGATGTGGTGTCTTTTTTTAAAATTGTAGAACTAGGAAATGTTCCATATATCATCAGATTCATTTTACCCACTGAACCTTTCTTTTCTATAAGCTTTCCAACAGCATATATCTATTTAATGAGAGCCAGAGTGGTGTAGTGGTTAAGAAGTCAAGCCAAGTTTATTTATGTTTAACAGCCCATGAGCCATCTATATATATAAAAGAAAGTCCCCTCACCATAAAATCAACACCCAGGCCAAACCACTGGACCTAGGAACTCCAAATTCGGGGAGAGCACTCCTACCGTGGCGTAGGTGCTCGCTAAGAAGGGATTTTTAGAAATTCAACCCCTAAGTGGGTCAAAAGGGGGAAAATGTGCTTCTAATACTCCTCCCCCCTCCCCATCCTACACTAGGCAGGCATCTGCCTGTCAGGTGTAGGAGAGGAGGTGGGATGCTTACAGCCGCCGGGGAGGTTTGCTCAGCAGGATTGCCTTAGCACTGCTGTTGGCCCAGCCTCCCCAATGCCTTTAAATACAATTCCCCCCCCCCCAACACCAGACAGGCCGGTGTCTGTCAGGTGTAGGAGCAGGGCCAGGGTATGAATGTTTATTGGGACATTATTGGGATAGTAAAGGACATTTCTAGGAGCCATTTCGATGCGTGCCTCCCTCATGAACCTGAAGAAATGTCCACCACATCACCACTCCCTCACACCAACTCCCCCTCTCACCTCTTACTGCCCCTAAGAAAGCTCCTGGCAAACATTGAGCCAGATACACCAACACTACAAGGAGGCGGCAACTTAGGAATGTGGCGAAGACATTTGCACATAGTACTCCTGCAGTGCACTGACCTGCACAGGCCAAGTACCAGCAAGATCACCCTGAGGTGCTCAGAACAACACAGTCTCCATATGAGCAAAACAATCCAGGAACACAAGTAGAGAGGCCATCACTTTCGTGGAAGGT